TCCGTTCAATACCACCCTGGAGCACTAACAGTCTCTCCTTTAGGATTATTTAATCATCTAAGGGGTGTCCTTCTGTCTGACATGCTACTTACTAATGGTTATGGCCCAATCTCTGAAGTCACAAATTAATTTGTAGATTTTTTTATGCAAAAGAGCTGCAAATGACTTCTGTTGGGTAGAAAATATAACTGTAAAACTTATGATTGCACTGCTCTATAGGATATTAAGCAATTATATCTTTAACCTAGCAATTTGATTTCAACATTTTTTTTTAACTCTGTACACATGAAGTTTATCAAGTCCTTTTGAAACAACTGTGCCATCCTGTTGATTCTCTCATTAATGAACTTTACACTCTTAGACAGGTGTAAAGTCTAGGAAAAGAATAACATAAAATAAAAAATTGGTTTTTAAGGAAAGCCAAATATTTTATCATTTTTGTCCATCCCACTCTGGGTCTTCTGATTACTAGAATGAGGGGAAGAACAACATGTAAAGTGTCTTTTCATTTCCTGGCCCCTGCATGACCCTCTACCCCCTTCCCCGCCATCCCTACCATTCTCTGTGTTTTTTTCCTGAGAGGTAATTGACTGTACTCTGGAGTCAGAGAGATTTGACCAGGCCACTGACCAGATGTGTAACCTCAGGAAAGTCATCCATCTGCTCTGGGCCTTACCTTCTTCTCCTTCAAAATGGAAACAATGAGATAACATGTCCTAACTGATAACAGGTACAGTGTGCCCAGCCCAGCCTGGCTCAGCGGTTGAGCATCGACCTAGGATCCAGGAGATCGCCGTTCAATTCCCAGTCAGGGCACATGCCGGGGTTGGGGGCTCGATCCTCTGTACAGGGTGTGCAGGAGGCAGCCGATCAATGACTCTCTCATCATTGATGTTTCTATCTCTCTCTCTCCCTCTCCCTGAAATCAATAAAGATATTTAAAAACAAAACAAACAAACAAAAAACCTAGAAGAATAAGGGAAAATATTGGTTCATTGGTTCAACTACCTTGCTATGAATGGCTATTTTACACACACACACAAAATGCAAATGACGAGAGCACATGAAAGTACATTCAAATTCATTGACAATCATACAAGTGTAAATTTAAACTATGGAATGATACCATATAAAATTATTGGAAAACCACACAGGAAACTTTCAAGGGTCATCATTGTTAGTTGGATGATGAAAATTAGGATACTTTTACTTTTCATCTTGTAAATTTTGTGCTTTTTGACTGGCTTTCCACAAACATTGATTGTATTATTTTTAATCATTTCTGAAAGGTATATTTTTTTGGATGGTTATTTTAATAATTTTATTAAATATTAAAATAATTATAGTTTTAATGCAAATAATACAGTACATATCATATCTTAGAAATAACAAAACAGCCTGGATGGAGTGCCTCAGTTGGTTGATCCCATGCCCAGAGAGGTCACAGGTTCGGTTCCGTCAGGGCACACGCCCAGGTTGCCTGCTCAGTAGCCAGTAGGGGATGTGCAGGAAGCAGCCAATTAATGCTTCTCTCTCTCCCTCTCCCTTTCTTTCTCTCTAAAGTCAATAAAACATATTTTTTTTAAATGACAAAACAAAAAAGTTTGGTAATGTTCAAAGTTGCTAGAATCATAGATAAACTGGCACTCTCTTTATATATAATACATATCATGAATACATTTATAAATTTGTGTAATTTTCCTGTAAGCAAGTAAAGAAGTAGCTTGTAAGCTTTTCATGTGTAAAATCTTTAATGCAGCAAATCCACTTTTAGAAATTTTCTCTAATAGGGAGAAAATATCTAAAAATACTCACATGAGGATGATTATTTCAGATTTGTTAACAACAGTGAAAAATTATAAGCTGTTGGTAATATTTATTTATTTATTTTTAATGTGTTTCATTGATTTCAGAGAGAGGAAGGGAGAGGGAGAGAGAGCAACATCGGTGATGAGAAAGAATCATAGGTCAGCTGCCTCCTGCATGCCCCACATGCAGGACTGACCCACAACCCAGGCATGTGCCCTGACTGGGAATCGAACCCTGACCTCCAGGTTCATGGGTTGATGCTCAACTGTGGGGGGGGGGTAGATTGGAGGGGCTGGTAATATTTATTAATAGAGTATTATAATACTATACAGGTTTTAAAACAAATGTGATATATATGTAGTAACTGACATCAAAAGCTATGCTATTCAGTGAAAAACTCATCAGCTGATCCTGTCTCCCACACTGTAACAACAACAAAAAGTCTGTCCATTAATACTGTCTTCAGTCTCTAGAGGAAGGGCCAAAAGAAGGAATACATTTTTAATGGCGTGTGAAATATCTTAAAATCCTTTTTCCCTTCTTGATAATTTTCAAAGTCACCACATCAGTAGTTTTCAAGCTTTTGGGTACATCACTTCACCTGTAGGGCTTGCTAAAACATGTGCTGCTGGGCCCCATCCAGAGTTTCTGACTCAGTCGGTCTGGGGCAGGGATCCCAGAGTATGCATTTAGGACAAGTTCCCAAGTAATGCCGAAATTGCTGAGCTGGGGATCACAGTTGGAGAGGCCACAGGATCTTAAAGCTCCTGGTTTTTGTGTTTGTGGGGTGATACAGAAGTCCAAAAATTAGGACTTTTTAAAGAAGGGAGAAGATGAAAAAGAGGAGGAAGGGAAAGATTCCTCTAGCAACCTAAGGGGAAAGAAAAGGGAAATATGAAAGACTAGACTGCTGCCTAGATTGAGGCAAAATGTAGTATTTAAGAATGTCCATGCAAGACAGGAAGCAGAAATCCAGATACTTAATGTATTTCTCAGAACAGGATTCCTTATCTAGGCATCAAAGATGAAAGGCCAGAGGTGTTGCCTTAGTTACAACTTCTTTTCTTAAAATCCACTTTAAAAGACGTGAATATTACAACGCTGCATCTTTGATTTTCTTTTATAAAGATTATATTCCATTGTCTTTTTAACTGCATTCAAGTTTTGTTTACAAAATATATGCATCATATAGACAGGACAAAAGAAAACCCCAAAACAAACAAAAAAGCAAGTTGTCTGTGCAGAGTCAGTTTTCCGTAAATCCCTGTGTTGATTCTTACCAGCATTCTTAACTCTTCTCTTCAGTCATTCGCTCTTACAATCACAGATGACAAATAGCTTAAATTTCTCATTCCTAAATGGTGATAGCCCTCAAACACAAATTTCCCCTCTGCTAACGCCTATGGCTCTCCCGAAAAAGTAATTTACATTTATGGTCTCTATTTTCTTACTTCCTCAGCACACTAAAATTTAAACCCTGTTTCCCTGACTGTGACCTAAATTTCTGTGCTGTATGTGTTCAAAGACAAATACGTATTAGTCACTTCTTAGTTTTTTTTTTCCCAAAGGGAACAATCGTAGTTTAAGTTTCTAATGATGCATTTGACCTTCTGAATTCCTTATTTCTGTGAAGTTCTCTCAAGTCATGACTTCCGTAGGGTAATTCTCCACTGACTCATTGAGCATCTATAAAAGTTTTTTTTTTTTTGTATTGCTGGATTCAGTTCCTCTGCCCTGTAAATACACCCCCGTGTGCCTTTCTTCTGCTTTCACTTTGTAATATTTTTGTGGTTTTAACCACAATGTGGAGTTATTTTAGCAGTTATGCTTCCCAGTTGTATATTTCTAATATCAATTCTTTCCTGAACTTCAAATTATATATCCAGCTGCCTAGTGTACAACCATATTTTGACATTTCACACATACTTTAGGCTGTATTTATCTAAAAAGAAATTTACTATCTTTACACCCTCTCTTTGACTTCCACCTGCAGTTCTGAATTGTGTTCCCACCAATTCATTCAGTCACCTAACTCACAAACATGGAAATCTTCCTCACCTCCTTTCCTTCTTAATCCAGAGAGACAACATTCAGTTGTGCAGACTGTACTCTCAAAAAGGAGACCCAGACTCTGGGAGAGATCAGAGTTGGCAAACTTTTTTGTAAAGAGCCAAATAGTAAATACTTAAAAGGTTTGATACCATGTAGTTTCTGTTGCAACTACCCAAATCTATAGCTGTAATAAAAAATAGCTATAGACAATATGTAAACAAATGAGTGCAGTTGTGTTCCAATAAAAGTTTAATTACAGCAATAACTGTAGTTTTTCATTTCCTGGGATTGAGTCAGGGTTGCTAAAATCCAGCCTATGTTCTACTTAGCTAAATCATGGGTCCAGAGTAGGCACATAAAGGATGATATAGGGCTAGGAATCATCTTGCTTTTAGCATCCCCACCTCTAAATTTAATCATCACATCATTTCAATTTTACTTTCAAAATATTTTTTGAATACATGCCTTCTCCTTTCCAAATTCATTGCCACAGCCTAAGTTTAGTCCTTGGACAGTATTCCAAAGGCTTCCTCATCTGACTGCATATCTTAAAATCCTACAAACAAAATTAACTTTCTAAAATTCAAATCAAATAGTGGGATCAAATCACATAAAGAAAAAATTCTTATATATTCTATAAAAAGCACATTTAATCTGATTTTGTAGTCTCATCTTCCATCATCCTTTCTCTTGAGCGTTATATTCTGGTAACTGAATCATTTATAGTCCCAAGAAGCACAGTTATCTCTCTTTATCCACTATCCCCTCTTACTGCCTTCCCATCTTGAAATTTCCACCTGGAAAAGTCACTTTCTACAACTGGCCCCAACTGTCCTATTTCTGCATATATTTCCCTCTAGTTCCCCCACAACAGCTGATAGAATTAACTACTTCTTCTTCTTTGTCAGTTCTTAAGCTTATACACATATCAGTAATTAAACATTATTTTGACATATATCTGACTACATTTTTTTCTTCGTTAGCGAACCATATGTTCCTTAAACACAAGGGTTATATTTTAGTCATCAGTGTATCTGAAGTGCTGAGCAGAGAGTATAGTGAAATCTGAAAGCAGCTACTTCTGGAAGCTGCTTCTCAGAGAGGTCTAAAATACTGAGATGTTTCTATTTTGAATGCAGAAAAAACTTCCAGATCATTATAGGCCTTGGATGGAAATTGCCAACCAACTTTCTTACTTGATTGAGAGTCACCAGCTTCGAGCTCAAGTGAATAAGGTATATATATTTTTATTTTACTCTTCAACCCCTTCTCACCACCCCATTAAATCTTCACACCACTTTTCTTTCTCAGCACCGTGGAACTGAGTAGGCTGACCTTAGGACACCAGTTATTGCCATTGAGGTACTGACACAATGATCTCACCCTTCCTGAACTGCTGAATGACTTGTTCCTGATTTGACACATATGTTTCCCTAAAATTTTCAGAAACTATACAAAACAATTCCTGGAACATATTGAGTACTCAACAAGTATTTGTGTTTTCTTTTTTAAAAAGGAGGCTATCTGGTTGGGACCTGTAGGCAAGCTGATGGGTAAGACCTAGCTGGGAAAGAACAAGCATAGAAATTCTCATTCCGTGTCATGTGGTCAGTGCTCTTCTGCCTCTGAGTGAGTCTGCCTCGATTGTACCATAGCGCCTCACAGAATAGTTGAATCAAGAGAATTTCTGAGTTATAAAGTCAGGGCTGTCAGGTTCTGTAGGGATAATTGATGTCTATAAATATACATGAGGTAAGATGACACATGTTGGCCAAGAGTATATAAGGAAGAGTGAAACTTCTTGGTCCCAGGAGAACTGACATAACTGCACAGGAATGATGAGAAGTTGTAATAGGAAGAACATAGATTTTTATTTCAGAAGACCTGAGTTTGAAACCTGGATTTATCAGTTAGGAACTACATAACTTTGAACAAGTGACTTAACCCCTGCCACCCTGCTTCCTTAATTATAAAGTGGGAGAAATTCTGGTCTCATAGAATTGTGAAGACGAGCCTCTTTGCATGTGTCTTAGCCTCACAATTCCAAGTGCCATATGATTTCAAAGATACAAGAAATATTTTCTACTCTCCAAGACTCTCCTTCACTGACTAATACACACTTAATGTCTATAATTAAAAATTCATTTAAAAAGACTTATTGAATGCCTGCTAAGTGCAGTCCTAAGGTTAGAGATATTGTAAAACAGATGTAAGAGACTATCTCCAGTGTCTATGAAGGTGGCAAACTAAATCTAAGAATTTATTTTCCTGCCTCATAAAGGCTCATTAACATAACCAAAAGAATGCAAAAAAGAAGAGGAGAGGGTAGGTAAATATCTGCAGTGCAGAAAAACAAGAGAAAGTTGAGATAAAAATTTAAGAATTGTTGTACCATATTAAGTAAAGAATACAGATCTACACATAAGTTTATAGTTCCCATGCCAAGCATTCAGCCAAAGCAAAAAGAAGAGCCCCCTACCCCTGCCTCTCAGAGCATCTCTCTCCCATCTCAGTACCAGGGCACAAAAGCAAGAGGGAGTCTGGGACAGTTTGCAAGAAGACAAATTAAAGTTCAGCTTGTGAACTACACAGTCCTTTGTACCAGGCTTTCCTCAGGCTTTATTTGATTAAACTGCCATAAATAAAATGAAGGACTTGCTGAATTGGTGCTCCTCATATGTTAAATGTCAACAAGAAAAGGCCAGGAGTGTCCTGCTAACTTCTGTCCACTGAAAACATCAAAGCTGGGGAAACAGCTTTAGCACAGCAGTGAAATTAATTCCTTGACACTGCCACTGGGCTAAATAGTGTCTCTCCAGGAATCATGTTTACTCAGAACCTGTGAATTAGTTGGAAATAAGGTTTTTACAGATGTAGTCAAGATAAAGGACATCATGTTGTATTAGGGTTTTGAAGATTTAGTATAAAAAGAGACCATTCAATATCTCATTGTTTTTATATTGATATATTGTATTGATAATATTATAGATATATTGACCTAGATAAAATATATTTTCAATAAAATTTCACCTGTTTCTTTTTACTCTTTTAAAGATGTGGCTTCTAGAAAATTTAAAATTGCACATGTGGTTTTCATATTTCCATCAGACAGACAGTACTGACTTGAGAAAGAAGGGCTGCGGTCAGCAGAAGGGAGGTAGCACCCTGGCTCGGTCCCCCAGACTCTGTGACCCAGGTCAAATATCTTACGCTCTCTGACTCTAGGTTTTGGCTTGTGGGTTTGGGGGAAGATGAAAAATCACCCTGTGTGGAAAGTTTTTAGCATTGTGCCTTGAACACTGTTTAGTAAGAGCCTTAGAATAAATAAATGCCGCTGTAATTCTCAGGCTGTTTCCGGTTAAAATGCAACATCTCA